TCCAAACTATTCAAGAAAGACCGTGCACTTTTCCTCAGGGCACAGAAGTAACTTTCCCTAACATCATCCCTCCCTTCCAGTCACTAACTCTTCCCTGTTATCGTTTATATCCACGGCCTCTTGGTGGACCTTCCTTACAGAACAATTGATTAGAATCTTTTGTCAAAACAACTGAATACTTGCTAGTTATGATTAGAGGGAACGTAGGTCCCAGTGTGAACCAAGGCCAAGGAGCCTCCAGGGGTGGGGAGGGACTTGCTCTGTGGGGAAGGAGACCCGCCAGGCCCTTCCCTGAGTCAAACAGTCCTGCTCATTGGAGGGGAAGAGCAGTTCATGCTGAGCAATCCTCGGCCAGACATATCCGAGGTCTGTGAAGAGCAGCAGGACCAAAGGGGAAATTGGGAAGGATCATCTTGTGGAGGTCTTTCAGGAAATCAGAGCACAGATGGTAGAGCTTTGGGACTGAAAGCTCACACAGAAGGAAGAGGATTGAAGAATCTTTTTTTTTCCCCCAGATTCCCCAGAGCTTTCACTCCATAGTGCCGGAGGGTGTCCAGCAGGAGCAGGCCCCTGGGAACTCCTAGGACAACTCAGAGGCAGTCCAGACGGCTGGGAGTCCTTTGCTATGGGCAGGCTCCGGGTACAGGGCTCCTCAGAAGGTCATCCCTACTCTGGTGGTGAGGCCTGGGGAAACTCAAGTTATTTTACCGTGTACTTCAGTAAGTGAGTCATCTCAGCCTTTTCTTCCCTAGATTGAATGATGCTCGTCCTATCAACTGGTTTACTAAGCACACCCTTTATTTTGCCGTTATATGAGTGCATTTTGGTCCTCTGTTCAACTAGAAGTTACCTTATTGTCTCTGTGACTCTTCCTCCTACCAGTGTATGGCAGAGTAACCAACAAATTGGACACTTATGAATACATTAATGAGAACCGACCCAACAAATAGTTTCCTGATCTCTATCAGTTATGCTCCTTATGATCCATCCTGACAGTGTACTGGCACGCGAGAAAATGGCCTAACGTTTCCTATACCATTTGTGACTAACCACACATCCTTAGATGATTTTTCCACCACCCTTGAGTCAGACTAGCCTTTTTCCAGGTAATATGTGAGATATCCAAATTTTATTCCTCCACACTTTTAATTACTGAATGTCATTCAGAATGTGCAAGAGTAAGTAGTCCTCCAGTTCTCAAGTTCAATGGGCCTTATATCTCTTATCCAGAGCGCCGACAACTATAACAATGTCATCAACACCTGCAAATGTGCTCAGTTCACAACAACCTCATTAAGTCATCATAAGAAAATATAGAAATATTGCATATGCATGCATGTAGCATCTCTGGGGAAAGAAACTTCTAACGATGGCTGTACCTGCAGAAGGAGGTTGAGAAGTTGATGGTTGGAGGCAGAACGTTCACTGTATACATTTTTTAAATATTTTAATTTTTAGACCGTGTGCATGTATTGCTTTTTCAATTAAACTTTTTAAAAACTAGCTCTAAACAAACAAACAAACAAAAAACAAAGAACAAGACACAGCTCTGATCCCCTGGGCAGTGGCCCTGACAGCTGCCTAGAGTTGGTATTATACCCTATGGTGTCCAATGTCTCCTGTGTCACTGGCCCTGTGGAATGCCTCACTGAATTCAAGATGGACTATGCAATGGCCTGCCTGGTTCCTAGCCCTCACAGCCCTCTCCCTGATAACTAGGGCAACATGACTTCCGCTTATTGACTCAGTGCTAGGCCCAAGCCCCAGGACTAATCCTGTTCCTAGTCTGGAGGGATTTGAAGGGCTTGCAGCTTGGGTTACTCTGTCTCAACCCGTCTGGTTGCTGGCAGTGTCCTGCTCTTTGTGCTGTCTTGGCAGAGAGTGGTGCAGACCTTGGTGGAGACACACATCTCCATTTTTAGCTTGCTTGATTATGAAATTTATCAAGGGGTAAAGAGGAGACAAGAGATACCTATTCGGTCAGCGGCTTTCCCACTCTCCTCCATCTATTCACCAAATGCAGTTACTAAGAACCTTCTATGAGGAGGATACTACACCAGCCTGGGCAGAAGCAAGTAAGAAGCAAATGAGTATACCAGTGCCCTTCAGGAGTTCAGAGTCTAGCAATAAAGACTCATGGTCTGGGTGCGGTGGCTTATGCCTATAATTCCAGCACTTTGGGAGGTCAACTTGGGAGAATCACTTGAGGCCGGGAGTTCAAGACCAGCCTGGGCAAAAGAGTGAGCCCCATCTCTACAAAAATAAATTTATTTTTAAATTAAACTTATTTATTTATTTATTTTGAGACAGGGTCTTGCTCTGTCACTCAGGCTGCAGTATAGTCACAGGCCGGAGTGTGATCAGAGTCCACTGCAGCCTTGACCTCCCAGGTTCAGGCAATCCTTACAACTTTAACCTCCCTAGTAGCTGGGACCACAGACGAGCGCCACCATGCCTAGCTAATTTTTTTTTTTTTTTTAATTTTTTGTAGAGATGGGGGTCTCCTTACATTGCCCAGACTGGTCTCAAACTACTGGGCTCAAGTAATTCTCCTGCCTCAGCCTCCTGAAATGCTGGTATTACAGATTTAAGCCACCGTGTCTGGCCAAAATTTTTTTTTTTATTAGCTAGAGGCTGGGAGTGGTGGCTCACGCCTGTAATCCCAACACTTTGGGAGGCCGAGGCAGATGGATCACCTGAGGTCAGGAGTTCGAGACCAGCCTGGACAACATGGAGAAACCCTGTCTCTACTAAAAATACAAAAATTATCCAGGCATGGTGGCACATGCCTATAATCCCAGCTACTCTGGAGGCTGAGACAGGAAAATCACTTGAATCCAGGAGGCAGAGCTTGCAGTGAGCCGAGATCGCGCCATTGCACTCCAGACTGGGTTACAGAGCAAGACTCTGTCTCAAAAAAGTAAAATAAAATTAGCCAGGCGTAGTGGCACACACCTGTAGTCCTAGTTACTTGGGAGACTGAGGCAGGAGGATTGCTTGAGGCCAGGAGGATGAGGCTGCAGTAAGCCATTATCACGCCACTGCACTCCAGTCTGGGCGACATTGTGAGACCTTGTCTCTAAAAAATAAATTAAATAAATAAAAAACAAAGACTGATGGAGTCCAGCTCAAGAACTTTAATGCAAACAGGCAGGTGTGAGGGAGGAGAGAAGGAAGGATTGCTTTCAATCACGGACAGCAAGACAAGGAGCAGCCCAGGAAAGCTTTCAGAAGGGGATGACATTGCTGTGAAGACTTATGAGCTGAAGGGAATTCAGTAGCTGCAGATAGAGCCTTTCAGATCGAGGAGGTGGCCGGCGAAGGGGATCCCACTTTCACAAAACATAAAGGCTCTGCACTTCTGTTCCCCCACTCCTCGGAGAAGGAGGATGAGAAGAGCTGGGCCCCCAGAACCCAGGACCACATAAGAAGGTTTTTCTGTTTAAGACAGCCTTCTTCTCCACTGTTTGTCTGGTAAATACCTATTCTTCAAGCCCCAGCCTAAGGACACCTCCTCTGGGAAGCCCACCATGACTTTTCCAGGCAGGGTTAGTTGTCCTGTCTGCTGCACTCCTACAACCCTCTGTCCGAGAGAGTTAGGGAAATTTAGAAGTTAGGCAAACAGGCCCTGCCACCATTCTGCCTGAATTCAAATCCTGGCTCAGCCACTGCCTTGCTGAGTCATCTGAAGCAAGGCACTCACCTCTCTGGGCCTCAGTTTTACCATCTGTTTTACCAACAGCGTAACGATGGCACTGTCCTGAGGTCACTGTGAGGATGAAACAGGGCAATGTCCCTAAAGCAAGCGCCTGCTGTAGTGTCTGTTCTTGTTACTCATAACCCTGGGCTGCTCTTACTGGACTGTGCTTGTGACCGTAAGAACCCTGAGGGCCAGGGCTATTCATCTCTGGATCTCTCTCTGCAGTGTTTAGAGGTGTTGTCCACAGTGCAGGTGTTCAATTTCTATCTTCTGAAGTACTGAACAAAACATGGCAATGAAAAGCGACAAAATGAATCAAGCCTTAATGCAAAGACACAATAAATGCAGGTGAAATGACGGGAAAGGAGCAAGGAATGTAGGAAAGTAAATAGGGGGAGAGGAGACGGTGCCACGACTTCAGAGGAGAAAAATTCCTATTAAATTCCTGTTCCGCCCGTAATTCCAGCACTTTAGGAGGCCGAGATGGGTGGATCACCTGAGGTCAGAAGTTCGAGACCAGCCTGACCAACATGGTGAAAACCCATCTCTACTAAAAACACAAAAATTAGCCGGGCGTGGTGGTGGGCGCCTGTAATCCCAGCTACTCGGGAGGATGAGGCTGGAGAATCGCTTGAACCCCGGAGGCGGAGGTTGCAGTGAGCCGAGATCACGCCACTGCACTCCAGCCCGGGCAACAAAGCGAGACTCTGTCTCAAAAAATAAAAAATTCTCGTTCATCTCTTAACCTGGGGACTGCCCATTTATATTTGGACGGTATTTTTCTCTGGCTTTCCCACTTCCCGGGGCCTTGGAGCTCCCTCCCCTGCAGGGCGGCTTCTCTCCTCCTCCTCCCTCCTCCCTCGCGCTCCCCGGGGAAGGGCCGCGGCCGCAGCCCTGACCTCGCCTCCCACGCGGGCCAGCAGCCGGCCAGCCGGCGGGCGGGGCAGGAAGGGGGAGCCGCGGCTCCGGGCACCCGAGATCCTTAACTGCAGCTTCCAAAGCCCTGGCTGATCCTAATCAGTGTGGGAAAGGAGCGCCGGGCCCAGCCCGCCGGCCGGAGACGCCGCCTCTTTTCATAAACTTTATCGCCGCGGTGCACAGGCGCTGATAAAGCACCGTAAATAAACGAGCGGGCGGGAGTGCGCGGCTGTCCGGAGGCTGCCTGCGCGCACGCCCTGCCGCGGCCTGCAGCTCCCGAGGGAAATGAATCACACGCCGGGCTGCAAAGAGCAGCGTGTTCTCCTCTCCAGACCAAGGCCGTAAATAATAATGCGTTCCTTCCCTACGTGGAGACCCTCACCTTTTGTTTTATGCATTCCATAAAAAGCCCAGGAGTTTTCTTCCGGCTGCCTGGTCTCCCCTCCTTGCCCGGGGAGTTAGGAGTGCTGTGTTCTGGGTTAGGCGTTTCCCTCGGGTGGAGCTCCTGGGCCTGGGTTGGGCCTGGGCGTGTGGCTCGGTGTTCGTAAGTCCCCTTTGGCTCTTGCACAACAGACCGAGGCTGGAGCAGGGCAGGGGGGCCGGAGTGGAGGGGTTTGAAGGGGGATGGTTTGACATCTCTGGTGGCTGGTGATGGTGAGCCCGGTTCCCGCCAGGGTGGCCACGGACGTGTGTGGGGGGATAGTCCGCTGCAGCTGAGTCATCGAGGAACCCTGGGCACTGCTGCTTCAGAGGCCAAGGGAGAGTGCACACCCTGATCACAAAGAAAGAGGACTTTGCCCCAGTCGATGGAGTGTTCAGCAGGCCTCATGGTCCATGTCCGTGAGCTGCTGAAGTTTTGACTTGGGGGGGCCCAAAGTTAATCTATGGTACAATTTTGGGGAGTCGAGTTGGAGGACGATTCCATGAATATGAAGCAATCTAGAAAGTCAGGGGTGTGTGGAACAGCCCAAAGCAGGCCGGCTCTGTCACAAGGTCCAGTCTCTAACCCAACGCTGCTGCCACTCCGCTCTGTGGTCTTGGGCAGCCACTGCCCTTCTCTGAGCCTCAGTTTCCCCATCCTTATTATGATCTCTAAAGAGATCTTCCGGTTCTCCTGCTCACTTAGTGAGAAGTAACATCCTTGCTATAAATTCTTCCATTTCCGAGGTGTCGCAGCACAGGACCCTCTGAAGAAACACTGTAATGTCCACTTAGAAGAAACCGGGACATAGGCCTTTTCCGTAACCCACACCTCGTTAGTGAGATTAGCGCTGGAAATGACCTCTTGGGGAGGTTACAGAGGTACAGGAGCCCTCCAGCCAGAATAAAGTCAGCTTGTGAGGTAAAAAGATTTAAAAATAAAATCCAGTGCATGATTACAGCATGAGGTCAGGGCTTCTCTGCGCCCCAAGGATAAGCTCCATGGCAGCTGGGGGTCTGCTTCCTGTGAGGATTCACTGGCTCCAAACATCTCATCCTGAAAAGTCAAATGTTTCCTTTTGGGGGAAGCAGGGCTGGGAAGGAAGGAGAGAGAGGAACCTAGGAGTCCTGACAGATTCTCTTTGGTTCAGCACTCCTAGAGAGTGTGGGTTTTGGGAGCTGACTCCTCCAGCCATGGCCAACAAAAGGAGATCACTCATGAAATAGAAATGAACAAAGGCGGCCAGGCACAGTGGCTCAGGCCTGTAATCCCAGCACTTCGGGAGGCCGAGGCGGGTGGATCACGAGGTCACGAGTTCTAGACCAGCCTGACCAACATGGTGAAACCCTGTCTGTACTAAAAATACAAAATTAGCCAGGCGTGGTGGTGCGCACCTATAATCCCAGCTACTCGGGAGGCTGAGGCAGGAGAATTGCTTGAACCCGGGAGGCGGAGGTTGCAATGAGCCGAGACAGTGCCACTGCACTTCAGCCTAAGCAACAGAGTGAGACTTCATCTAGAAAAAAATACAAATAAAAAATAAAAGACATGAACAAAGGCCTGGTTCTTCTAATACCCATTTCTGACACCACATGTCCCAGGAAACATGTGGCCCCAAACAGGCTTCATTTCCTGCTCTCCGGACAGAAGGCCACTCAGTCTTGTTTCCTTTATTTGCATAATGTCAAGAAAAATGAGTCACGCCAGATTGGCATGTGTTAAGTAATACTGGCAAAAGGTTTCCAACTGAGTTTAGAGTATATTTCTTACCAAGGAACAATCACTCACTCAATTGCTGATTTATTACGACGTGACTGTGATTATCTCTCCGGGTCTCAGTTTTCCATCCATGAATCCTTGTGATTTTTAATTTTTCATGTAGGACTGTCATGAGAAGTAAGATTGTTAAATTTCCAGAACAGAAATAAGTAAGGGAAACATCTATGTGTGACTCCTCCAGAATCGCTCTTGCTTCCAATTTTGTCTGCTGTTAATGGAGGTCAGCAACTAAGGGAAAAAAGGAGAAAACACATTTAAAAAAAAAAAAAAAGCCTGAATGTAAAAATAATTGGACTAGCCTGCCAAGAATAGAAGCCCTAGTGTAGTGGTTCTGAAACTTTTAGAGTCACAGAACTTTGTAGAATCTGATGAAAATCACATCCTGCACACCCCCATGGACATACAAATATATACCTGTCTTTGCAGTCATTTCAGGCGTTCGTGGACCCCTGAAGCCCCACCTAAGGATGCTGTTAAGAACCTCTGCTCTGGAGAATAATAAAATGTTGAGCCTCTGTTTCCTAATCTGTGAAGAGGATATAGCACTCACTCCCAACCAGCTTCGTGGAAGAGAAGGAAGAAGCTACGTAGACCTGTGCTGTTAAAACATATTGGTTCTCTGCCTGGCAAACATGTAATATTGATGCAGTTCTATTACCATCATCTGCTACAGTCATTCCCTATTCTGCTTCATGGGATGTAAATTTCTTTGTAAGACAGAAGCAGCCCTGTCTGTGAAATTCCCAAAGCAAACCCTTCTGGTAAGCCAGCACTGTAAGTTTTCATACTTGCCTGTTAGAAATGTAATGAGTCCCCACGGAGACCAAAGGGAAGGCTGGAGGTAGCTCTGCAGGCTCTCAAAGGGTAATAATTGCTGGGGCAGGAACGCACCAAATGATACCCTTGTGGTTTTAAAAGTCAATGTAACTTTCCAAAGAGCCCTCCTTTCTCCCAGAGTAGGTTGCAATATTTGAAAAATTAACAATATTTTAAAAATTCACCCACTGAAACAAAACGTTGAGTTTGGGGAAAAAGTTTCTGATGCATCAGTTAAAAAATAAAAGCTTTTCATGTATCAGTAATATATTAAATAGAATCATCCATTTGGTTCGAGGAACCTAACTGCAATTTCTGTAAATATCACCAGTAAAATAAAGGGATTGGATTAGACTTTGCTATCCTTTAATCTTCCTGGGTTTGCAGATCCTTTCAGAATTAGATATGAGATATAGTTTCTGGCCCCAGAAAATACACATTTACTAGACACGTAACTCTCACATAATTTTACTTGCAATTTGGGGGCTTTACAAAATCCTAGCAGTCCACGTGGACCACTAGGTTCATGAAAGCTAAACTACCCACACTCTAAGGCCTCTTCTGCCTTGATAGGCTTCAGAGGATTCAGTTCCTTCGCCATTTTGCAGAGCCTCTGCAAAGACAGGAAGGGGCAAAGTTCTCCCTACAACTGCTGTGAAAATAACCATGCTTTAAACACTCAATTTAGGTTATGTTTAGAAAGCGTAGTCCAAATAAGCAGCTCTTCAGGACAATGACATAAAACTACAATTTGACGTTTTTTTTCCTGGAAGACAGGGAATGAGAAGGATGGGAGGCCTGGACAGTGCAAGATGAAGAATGGGATGTGGTCGGAACACGCAGACGGCACAGTCCTTGAAGAAGGGATTGTTAAGGGTCTTGAGAAGGCCTCGGCGAGCAGCAATCTTGCCTCTGTGGGAAGTGGTAAGGGAAGCTACGCGGCTTCTCAACACGCAGAGGGGTTCTTCTGACGGTACCTGTAGCAGGCCTCGCTGCTGGTCATAAACATTTACTGCCCCTCCCTGAAAGAGGATGATATTTCTCCTCCTCCTTGACATTAGGCTTGGCCATGCTATTTGCCCTGGCCAGTGACATGTACAGAAATGACATCTCTCACTTCCAGGCAGAAGATCTAAGAGCCAGCTCAAGCTTTACCATGTGCTCCTGTCCACATCCACGAGGCTGGCAGGATTCTAGGTCCACTGCGCCCTCAGTGAAGGGAACGTCGGGCAGCGCTGCAGTCAGCCTCTCAGGCATCAGGTGAAGTGCAAGAAAATATTTTTGATATTGTAAGCCTGTGAGGTTTTGGAGTTGCTTGTTACTGCCGAAGAGCCAAGACTAATTTCCTGCTGTCCCATCCTCCTTTGGGAAGGAAGAGAGATGGATTACAGCACCAGCCAGCGTCTGCAGGAACTATGTGCATCCTCCTCTTTCCATCCTTCCCACTCCTGACATGTTAAAACTAAGTGTCAATTTGATTGGGTTGAAGGATGCAAAGTAATGTTCTTGGGTGTGTCTGTGAGGGTATTGCCAAAGGAGATGAACATGTGAGTCAGTGGACTGGGGGAGGCAGACCCACCCTCAATGTGGGGGGGGCACCATCTAATCAGCTGCCAGCATGGCTAGGATAAAGCAGGCAGAAGCAGGTGGGAGAAGCTGACTTGCTGAGTCTTCTGGCCTTCATCTTTCTCTCGTGCTGGGTGCTTCCTGCCCTTGAACATCAGAGTCCAAGTTCTTCGGCTTTTAGACTCTTGAACTCACACCAGTGTCTCTCTCTCTGGCCTTCGGCCACAGACTGAAGGTTACACTGTCAGCTTCCCTACTTTGAGGTTTTGGGACTCAGACTGGCTTTCTTGCTCCTCAGCTGGCAGAGGGCCTATTGTGGGACTTCACCTTGTGACTGTGCGAGTCAATTCTCCTTCATATCGACATCCGTCCTATTAGTCCTGTCCCTTTAGAGAAGCCTAATCCACCTCCTCATCCACTGTGACCCGAGGAACTTCAAAGCTTAGCTAAGAGCCAGTAGCCCATCAGTCATGCCCCCTATAGCAGGTTGAATGATGCCCCCCGAAAACAGATGTCCACATCTTAACCCCCAAATCATGAATGTGACTTAATTTGGAAAGGGAACCTTGCAGATATCATTAAGATTCTCCATATGAAATCATCTTGGATTACCAGGATGTGCCCTGGATCCAAGGACAGGTGTCCTTCTCAGAGATGAAGAGAAGACAGAGGAGATGGAAGCAATGTAGTTACAAACCAAAGAACCCCTAGGACCACCGGGAGCTTATAGACTCAAGGGAGGCTTCTTCCCTAGAGCCTTTGAAGACAGCCTGCAGGCCGGGCACAGTGGCTCACGCCTGTAATCCCAGCACTTTGGAGGTCCAGGCAGGCGGATCACCTGAGGTTGGGAGTTTGAGACCAGCCTAACCACCATGGAGAAACCCCGTCTCTTGAACAATGAGATCACTTGGACACAGGAAGGGGGAACATCACACACCAGGGCCTGTTGTGGGGTGGGGGAAGGGGGAGGGAGGGATAGCATTAGGAGATATACCTAATGTAAATGACGAGTTAATGGGTGCAGCACACCAACCTGGCACATGTATACATATGTAACAAACTTGCAACTTGTGCACATGTACCTTAGAACATAAAGTATAATAAAAAATAAAAGTAAAATAAAAAAAAAAGAAACCCCGTCTCTACTAAAAATACAAAAATTAGCCAGGCGTGGTGGCGTATGCCTCTAATTCCAGCTACCCGGGAGGCTGAGGCAGGAGAATCACTTGAACCTGGGAGGCCAAGGTTGTGGTGAGCTGAGATCGTGCCATTGTGCTCCAGCCTGGGCAATAAGAGTGAAACTCTGTCTCAAAAAAAAAAAAAAAAAAAAAAAAAAAGAGAGAGCCTGCGGCCCTGCTAACACCTTGATTTTAGACTTCTGGTCTCCAGACCTCTGAGAGAATAAATTCTGCTGTTTTAAGCCACCCAATGTGTGGTAATTTGTTACAGCGACCATATAAAACTAATAATTTCACTTTCGCAAAATAGCTTTTCTTCATTTGTTCCTCTCTTTGATATACTTCTTAAAGGCAAACCAGTATACTAATGGACTGGGGGAAAAGCCTACCTTTCTCTCTGTCCAGTCCCCAGGGCAGGGCCTCAATTCCGTTGAAAGGGAGGGAGAACGTCAGCTCCCAAAACCTGACTGCTGCACTTCCTCTCCAGGGGAGACACCAGCAGTGAGAGGCTGAATCCGTGATTACAGACTATGCAGAAAGTGAGTCTCAAAATAAACAGCTCCTGGAGTCAAAGCTCAGGGGACGATACATAGAATTTTGGAGTCTTCAGGACAGAGAGAGAGCATGTAGTTCAACTTCTTCAGGCAGTTTTTAGAGGTACAAGAGGGCAAGGAATTTTGTATATTCGCATAGGTTTTTGTGTTATTGAGGACCCTGAGGGCTGGAGAGAGAGAAATCTGTCCAGGTCACAAACTAGGGGCTGAGAGCAATTTCACCACCCAGCGCAGAAGGACTCTTCCTCCACCTCTGGGGTCCTGCCTCTGTGGTGCTGCCCCCAGAATGGGGGCTTTTTACACACAACAGGTCTCACTCACTTAGGTCTTTCATAAGCCCTCAGCTCTCCTGGTCTGGGGACCCCACTCCATGTCA